TTTTAATATATTTCTTTTTCACCCGGAGTTTCAAGTTAATGTGAAGCTAGGAGTTTCTGAAACGATGAGTGATTCTTTTGAGAATGAGGCACAAGAGAGTGATGGGTAAGAGAGCTCTGTAGAGCTTGCACTATGAAAATCTAGCAGTGGACTACGGGGTTGGCTATCAGTTATTTTTGCCTCTCTTCCTTATAAGGAAGTTGACATTTCTATAACTTCCAATTTCCATACCTTTTCTCTCTTCCTTAAGGGCAAGAAAGTGCAAGAAGGTGCTCCTTGAGAGCAGTGATGATTGGTGGGACTTTGTTTCATCCACATAGGGCGTGTTGCTAGAAGGGACCACCAGTCCTTGGAAAAAAGGCAACTTGGAAAGCTGGAGGGTCAGTAAAAAAAGAGAGGAAGACCTTGGCAACATGGATCAACATAATATCTGTAACAGTGGTTTTCAGTATATTAGAGATGATGAAAATGGCACAGAATAGGGCAAGGGTCAGATCTGTTGTTTGTATAGGATCTCTGTGAGTCCCAGTCGACTCAGTGGCACCTAACAAAAAACCAGCTGTTTGCATTAGGGTCCTTCTTGGTGAGCATAATCACTGGCATAGCAGTTCTCAAGTCCTCAGAAAAGGTTTTTATTCTTTTAATATAGATTATTTACCTGTTTTGGGGCTGTTGATTATACTGTTTACTGGAAATAAGCAAATATGATAGAGGAAAACTATTTGGAATAATATTTCAAGCTGCTTTTGGCAGTCCTTTTAAAATGTGTTTAACACATCATTTTGTTCTGGGCCCAGGTGATTGTAATTCATGGATATACATGTTTTATTGTCTTTGAGGTTTTGCATTTTAATTATCACCAGAACCTTTTTCTGAAGTCATACTTATTTGTTCATTTTATTTGTTTGTTCAAATGAAAGAGTGCATCAAGTATGGAATTAGATTAATGGCGTAAATATTATGAATTATACACGCACTCTAATCTGACGCTCTTTCTTCTTTTTTTGACCCCATGTTTTGTTTTCTTTTTCTCTTCACGTAGGCTTTCAGTCCCGCATAAAGCTGGTGGAGCGAGGGAGCAAAGGTAAAGAATGATGTAATGCAGTGGCTGCCCCAAAGCATCTTTTGTTGCGGGATGGTTATTCCAGTCATCTCTTTATGAATCAAATGTGAGGGGCTGCTTTGTGGAAGGAGTCCTTTGCTAGAGCACATCAACAGGAAAGAGAAAGAGACATTCACTTGGAGGGCTCTTGCTGAAAATGGGTTTAACTCTCCTTTTGCCAGTCACTACCAGCCTGACCTCATACATTTTTAGTACAATGGAGTGGCTGAGCCTTTGAGCACACCAGCATTACATCATCGTGGCAAATTAAAGAAGGAGGTGGGAAAAGAGGACTTATTGTTGTCATGGCCCATGAGATGATTGGAACTCAAATTGTTACTGAGAGCTTGGTGGCTCTGCTGGAAAGTGGAACGGAAAAAGTGCTGCTAATTGATAGCCGGCCTTTTGTGGAATACAATACATCCCACATTTTGGAAGCCATTAATATCAACTGCTCCAAGCTTATGAAGCGAAGGTTGCAACAGGACAAAGTGTTAATTACAGAACTCATCCAACATTCAGCAAAACATAAAGTAAGTGCTTTCTTTTTTAAAAGGTAAATGGACACATTGAATGGGAAATCATTTGAAATGGAATCTTGTTTTTGGTGGGAGAAAGTAATTTGAGGAAATTTAAATTTTAAAATGTTGATACTTTATAGTACCTCAGAATAATTTAATAATGATTTTTTTTACCTTTTCGAACATTTCTAAACTCTACAGAAAGGTTAACTTGCATTAATTTGAGTAAGTATGGTTTCCTGTTAATAGCTTGCTAAAATGATTTTAAATGCTATTTTACATTATCTATAAATTTGCTGAAAAGAACATAATTCTTTTCAAGAACCTTAAAAAGCAAGTAGGAATGAATTCTCTTTGAGGTATTTTTTATGTGGGGGAATGTAAGGGACCACTGGTCAAAACTTAAGGTTATTATTTTCATGCAAAGTTATTCCTTGGATACCGGAATGTCATCTTTGTGCTAGAAAATGCTCGCTCTTTGAATAAAAATGAGCACATGTTTTAATTTTACTATAAAAGCTAACTTCTTTGTTATCTGGAAAACATTTTAAAAAATAATTTTAGATTTATTATGCTTATCTTACATATTATTTTTCTTAGCTTTACCATTCTATTTTGTAAAGGTTTTTAAACCAAGGAGTTTTAAATCACGTCCACAGAGAAATAACTTCAATTTTACAGTTTCCGTAAAAGTTGATTTTTACAAGTATCTAAATAATTAGTGTGCCAAGTTTGCCTGATGAATTGGCATCATCTCATTCTTACCCAATTTTAAACTGACAATAAGAACCAATGGTTTATTTTAACAATAGTTCAAGAGTGATCCAACTTGTAGTTTATGCTGTTATTTTCCTCATCTTCCTTTTTTCCTAACAGCTTCACATTTGCATTTCAGGTTGACATTGATTGTAGCCAGAAGGTTGTAGTTTATGATCAAAGCTCCCAAGATGTTGCCTCTCTATCCTCAGACTGTTTTCTCACTGTACTTCTGGGTAAACTGGAGAAGAGCTTTCATTCTGTTCACCTGCTTGCAGGTAAGTTTTGTGGTAGAACTCAGAGAACTTGGACTCCTGCTCATCTGTGTGATGTCTGAGCTGGGGAATACTTCATGCTGAACTCCAAGAATAATAGATCATCCCTAATCAATGTTTTTTGTGTAAAATGATTTATCCTGTAACTTTTAAAATGTATTTTTTTTACTTTTTATGTGATTTGAGTGTGAGTTTACAGAGCAGATTAGTATTCCATTCAGGCACTCATAACGTTTCATTTTATGACCTTGATGACAATCCCTATATTGTTTCATCACTTTTCACTGTAATCATTCTGTGCTTCTTTTCTTTCATTTCTCTGGATGTTTCCTTCCTACCTTCTGAGTTTTGTCATTAGGTGAATGCTGCCCTTATGATCTTGTGTGATTGATTGTACAGTGGACTGAGTACTTCCTTGGTGTTATTGTTTTCCGTATAGATCTGTAGTTTTGTTACAAATTGTGCCACAGGGTTTAGTTCCAGGCTCAAAGAGTGCCTAATAGGCATAGCTAAGGTCACACCAGTCAGCCTGGCCATTACTGTGATTTTGAGTTTTGTTTTATGCTTTCTCTCCCACTATAACCAAGACTTTCTGTAGAGAAACCTCCCTTTCAGAGAGGTTAGCTATGGTGGGTAGGCATCATCTAGTTCTGGTCACAAAGTTCTAGAAGCTGAGGATGGAAAGCCTATTGGTATTTATAGCTTTTGATTGCTGTAACTATTTTATTGATGTATTGTCATTCTCCCACTTTCTTAAATGTATTTTTACTTAGCCTGTTCACTTGGTTACCACTGTGATTAGCTAAATGAATCTGCATATAGAAATTTGCATATCGGTAGCTCAGGCCAGTTGCTTCTGTCTTTTCTGTTCACTTATCATCTAAGAATACTAATAAATGCCTTACGTTTTAGCTGCCTTCAGCTATTGGTTCCCATTCCATATAACAAGAACCAAATTAGTGTCAAAACACTCATTAAACATTTATAATTAAATTGCACTCCAAAGATAGGTCACCATTTTTGGGTATTATGAGCAAAGAATGTGTAGAATGCTAAATGATCAAAGGGACTATTTAAAACTTAGTATCTATTCTTTTTCTGTTTATTTTTACATTGAAAGCATTAACTTCTCAGTCTGTTTATGTGAAGCAACTAAATTTTATGAAGTACATGAGAGAAGGGCTAAATATTTTCTATTTATTTGAAGGGTGGCAGAAGTTGGGAGGAGTTCTGTGGACGGTCCATCTCACAGAGTTCCATAGCAGAGTTTTCATCCTTTGTTCTGCCTATTTTACAGGCATTACGAAAACATTTCCATTCTAACAGGCCCACAGACCAGGGGATAGAGTTCGATCTAGCACAGAAACCTTTAGCCCAGAGCTGCAATGTTAGGCAGACTCTGCCAGAATGATGAACAAAAGCCTCTCAAAATGTGATCCTAAGAAAAACAAATGGGATGGATATTGTCATTTCACACCTTGAGTAATCTGTTTCAAGATGGTGCACTAAGTACGTTATTGGCAATTGATTATTAGACATCTGAACAGTTCTTAAGAGACTAGATTTAGTTGTGTGTTGGTATATTAACACCTTAGACTCTCTGCAAGCTTAGATAAAATCTCCATGTTTTTCATTGTCTTTCAGGAGTTTTTGTTTCATTTCTCTAAGAATAATGCTAGTCTTTGATCTCTTTCATGTATCTATAGCCACATGTATTTTTGATCTCTCCATCAGTATCCTTCAGAGAAGATTACTTGTTTTGGAATGTGGTTTTCAGAATTCTATGATTGAAAATTATATTAGGTTCCATCTCTGCTGAAAACCAAGCAGTCTGCTTCTATAAGAATTATAGACTAGGAAACCCTGTCTAGAAAAAGCCTGTGGGGCAGTTCTTCTGAGTTATGAAGGCCCATTCTTTTACACACATTGTAACTGCACTAAATATATCCACTGTTCTTATTAGAGCTCCACTAACCTAATTGGATGAGTTCATGTCCTGCTTCTTGTAAACACTCTGAGTAGCTTTACCTTGAAATCCTATTAATGAGATTAGAGTTCTCCTTTATTACATACAGTATACCAAGATGTACATAGGGTTTTCAGAGGCCTGCTATTACAGAAGTGGATGGCCAATCCTTCCTCCTAGTCTGTCTTAATCTGAATGTTCATATTTAGAGGAGTATCTGACAGATAAGCAATTTGTGGAGCAGTCAAAGATAAATCCCTCATTGTGGAGTTAACCATTAGTTACAGTGTTTACCCTGCCCAGTGCCTTGACCCACTTATTTCACAGCTCCACCCTCCACCAGGATACCCCGTCACATCTACCAGACCCCTTCAGAAATTATCTTCCTTTGTCCAACCCATGATCTGACAGCTTGTATCTGAAGCTTTCTTGGCTTCTGTGCTTTCTTTGCAATCACTTGTTATGCATCAGAGAGTTGGACAATGACTAGGGAGGACAGAAGGAGAATTGATGCCTTTGAGCTGTGGTGCTGGAGAAGAGTATTGAGGGTACCATGGACTGCCAAGAAAACAAACAGATTCATCCTGGAGAGGGTTAAACCAAGCTACTCCTTGGAGGCAAGGATTCTGGGGCTTTGTCTGACATGCTTTGGGCATGTTGCAAGGAGGGACAGGTCGTTGGAGAGGGACATCATGCTTGGGAGGGTGGAGGGACGGCGCAAGAGGGGAAGACCCTCTATGAGGTGGATTGATTCAGTGACTGAGGTAATCGGGATGAGTGTGTCAGAGGCAGTGCGATTGGCACAGGATAGAGCAGGGTTTAGGGCTGTTGTACATAGGGTCACTATAGTCGCAGACGACTTGACGGCACATAACAACAACATACCAAGATGTGCCTCATAACCCATTGGTTATATTAACTCACTTTCATTTGAGACCCTTTTTCCCTGTGAGGGTTCTGACTTGGCACATTAGACAAGGAGACATCCTCTTAGACTATTTAATTAATTTGGAACTTCTAGGAGAAAAATTTTAGCTACTTATATACGCCCTTTCAGGGGCCCTCGTGGTGCCAGTGGTTTCACAATCAGTTGCTAATTGAAAGGTTAACAGTTTGAACACACCAGCATTCCACAGGAGAACAAAAGCTGCCAATCTACTCCTGTGAAGATTATAGCCTAGGAAACCCTATGCAGCAGTTTTTCTGTGTCAGACAGTCACTATGAGAGGGCCAGTGAAGGAGATGCAGATCTTCAATAAGCTGGTACAATTTAAACTTTTAAAAAAAAATTTCACATTGGTTTGCATACGAAGTTCATATACATTTCATTTCATACTGTCCTTTATTCACATTGTGTTTCATACAATCATTCTCATTCATTATCTGTTACAAAATCATTCAGCATTAAACCATGCCCATCATTACCCTGTATTGCCAGATCAATGCTGGATCTTTCCCATTTCCCTTACTCCCGTACCTCCACCCTCTAAATTGTGCAACCTTGTGATTTCTCCCCTACCCATCCTCACACCTCAGTTCCAACCCCTTCCCCCGCTTCACTCCCCATGCGTGTTTTACTTGTTATCCTTGTTTTTACAATAATGGGACATGGTAGGTTTAAGCACAGGGGAGATTGTGAGTATGGTGTGGGATCTAGCAGAGTTTTTATCTGTCTTTACATAGGGTGGTTATGAATCAGGGTAAATATGATGGCACTTAGCAACAACATACCCTCTGTAGAAGAGAGGATTCCTTTGTTACCTGAGAAAGTTCTTATCAGTCATATATAGATTTGGGAGAAGGTATTTTTTGAACAGAAAGGACAGAAGGATTCAAACTTAATTTAATCAGCTGAATCAACAACCCCAGATATCCATAGTATAACACACTGAGCCAAAATACTCTGACATCTACTTTAGAAGAAACACTTTCTGGACCTGAATGAAAGTTTACTGAAATGGCACCATGCACTGTATTAGATGTATGTTATTAGGTGTTGTCGAGTCAAGTACGACTCATGGCAACCATATGAACAATCAGTCTGAAACCTGTCCTATCCCATGTCATCTTCACAATCTCTGACACACTCAAAAGCATATTGCTGTAGTCACGATGTTAGTCCCTGTGGTCAAAGGTCTTCCTCCTTTTGATCGACCCTCCACCTTTCCAAGCATGATGTCCCTCTCCAGGGAATAACTGCTTCTAACAACATGCCCAAAGTAAGACAGACACAGCTTCATCATCTTCACTTTCAAGGAGCACTTTGGCCACACCTTTCCCAAAACATACCTGTTTGTTCTTTTGGCAGTCCATGGGATCTTCAGCATTCTCCTCCAACACCACAGTTCAAAGGAATCAACTCTTCTTCTATCAACGTTAGTCGTTGTCCAGCTCTGAGATGCGTAAAAAGGTGACTGAAAAGACCATAGCCTGAATCATAGTCATTGCATCTTAGTCCTCAAACTGACATCATTCACCAGTGCACTATGTTTCCTGATCTCCTCACTACTGGTACCAAGAATATTGACTGGATCCAAGTAAGATGAAGTTGCTAACAGTCTCAGTCCTTTCTCCATCCATAATAGGGTTACTTATCAGTCCAGTGGTGAGGATTTTTGTTTTCTTGATGTTGATATATACTCCATATTGAAGGATTAGTTGTTTAACCTTTTGTAGCAAGAGCTTCAAATCCTCCTTTCCAACAAGCAAAGTTGTATCTTCTGCATAATGAAAATTATTGATGAATCTTCATCTAATCCTGGTGTCACAGACTTTTTCTTAGTGTCCAGCTTCTTGAATAATTTGCTCAGCATGTTGGTTAATTTTTTTTATTGTTTCCGAGCAACCAGAGGTCTTTCTGAAATCTAAGAGAATTATTTCTGATTAAAAACTTTTCTAACTGTCTGAAAGCCTCTGACCATTGGAGCTTTGATCAGAAAGGCTATTCCTTAGAGTAGAGAGGAACTGGAATATATTCTAGGGAGAGTAGGCTTGTTGCTTTGTCAAGGTCCAGGTGCTTGGAGGATGTGCCAGGGAT